AAACCTGAACTCAAGGTTCAGGAATAAAGGATACAATATTATCTAAACCTGAACTCAAGGTTAAGGAATGTAGGATAAAAGATTATCTAAAACCTGAACTCAAGGTTTAGGAATGAAGGATAAAAGATTATCTAAACCTGAACTCAAGGTTCAGGAATGAAGGATACAATATTATCTAAACCTGAACTCCAGGTTCAGGAATGAAGGATAACAGATTATCTAAAACCTGAACTCAAGGTTTAGGAATGTAGGATAAAAGATTATCTAAAACCTGAACTCAAGGTTTAGGAATGAAGGATAAAAGATTATCTAAACCTGAACCCAAGGCTCAGGAATGAAGGATACAATATTATCTAAACCTGAACTCCAGGTTCAGGAATGAAGGATAACAGATTATCTAAAAACCTGAACTGAAGGTTCAGGAATGAAGGATAAAAGATTATCTAAAACCTGAACTCAAGTTTTAGGAATGAAGGATAATGGGTTATCTAAACCTGAACTCAAGGTTCAGGAATGAAGGATACAATATTATCTAAACCTGAACTCCAGGTTCAGGAATGAAGGATAACAGATTATCTAAAACCTGAACTCAAGCTTTAGGAATGAGGATAAAAGATTATCTAAACCTGAACTCAAGGTTTAGGAATAAAGAATAAAAGATTATCTAAAACCTGAACTGGAGGCCTGGCTCCCCACTCGTCTCTTGAGTAGATCTTAATACAATTGTCAGACTCTAAAAAATAATTGGATTGAAACCAAAGCATTTCATTTTGTCAGTAATGTCTAATCTCTTTTGTAACTTGATGATGTTCACCTGTAAAATCTAACCCTAAACCCTGTGACATCAGATTGCAAAGAAATAAGAATTTAAGAATGATTTTGAGGAGAGTAATCAGTTGGTTTATTGAATATTCACCCCTAACCCTTGTTTCAATTTTACAATATTTTAATGCCCACGGTTATAACCTGGATACACAGGACCTGTTTACCTTGTATATCCTGGATACACAGGACCTGTTTACCTTATATACCCTGCATACACAGGACCTGTTTACCTTATATACCCTGGATACACAGGACCTGTTTACCTTGTATACCCTGGATACACAGGACCTGTTTACCTTGCATACCCTGGATACACAGGACCTGTTAACCTTGCATACCCTGGATACACAGGACCTGTTTACCTTGTATACCCTGGATACACAGGACCTGTTAACCTTATATACCATGGATACACAGGACCTGTTTACCTTGTATACCCTGGATACACAGGACCTGTTAACCTTATATACCCTGGATACACAGGACCTGTTTACCTTGTATACCCTGGATACACAGGACCTGTTAACCCTGTATACCCTGGATACACAGGACCTGTTAACCCTGTATACCCAACATACACAGGACCTACTATCCTGTATGCCCTGGACACCTAGAACCTAGCAACCCTATTTACCAAGGATACCCAGGACCTACTTGTCAACCTATATACCCACGACTCAGTACCTGTTAGACTGACAGGACTGCAAGGAGAACAGGACATGGAGAGATGTATCCATCCAAGAAGCAGAATTAAAGCCTGTAATGTGTGTGGTGAACTGGGAGAGGGGGGGGGGAGATTTTATTGTGACCTATAATTAAGACTGTTTCAAGCTATATTCATAAAAAAATATTCTGAAAAAATATAGTTAACAACAGAAAGCCGGGAGGAAGTAGGTTCTTGCTACAAAATCAAATATTCTAATCCATGATATTTCGAACTATTTGATCTAATAATTCATGGTATGAAATATCAAAGGTATACAACATCGGGCTGCAAAGATATATGGATTAGAAAATAAGAGTTTTTGGCAAGAACTCGGTTCCGTCCGTCCCCCCCACCACCCCCTAGTTCTCACACACTGCTTACCCTCATTCTCTTTGTCTGAAAAATATTTGACGATAACAAATTTGACAAATATTGGGTTAAAAAAAAATATTGTTAATTTTTTGATGAAATATTTCTAAAACTTTAACAATTAGTGTTTTATTTTATAAACGGCCCAAAAAAATGGCTGAATATTTTGAGGGAACCCATGACTATCCGGGGGCTAAAAAAGCTCGAATTTGTTTAATTCAAATTAGATTTTTTAAAATTACACGGGCAACACCGGCACTATAGCTAGTCTTCAATAAAAACAAAGGAATTGAGTCCTTACCACAAACTCAAATTTGCTTAGACCTTTTATCTTTTTAAACTTGGATTATTTTAGCTGACAGAATCCTTAGTTTGAATTATATCCAAGGTCTCTGAGTATGATATTGTGTTGCAAAGATATAGAGATTAAAAAATGCTTTTACAGTGAAATATATGCCTAGAGTCTAGTGTATTTAGTTGTGAAGAATTAACTGTGCACCCTTCAAAATAAAGTAAAAGGTTAAACATTTTTGATCAAAAGTCATTTTTTAAGAAGATTTATTAAGAATAAGTTTGGAATTTCTACTATTTAACAAAATGAAGTACCGACAATTTCACATAGATTTGCCTTTTCTTTATGTTTGGAACAAAGATAAAGTACTGTTAAGTGTTTATGATTAGAAATAAATTTTCTTATCAAGAATCCACGTATCTCGAATGACTCACAACTGTATTAATTTTAATAATACATATTTGGGAAGTTGCAACAAAATATCCTTGCTAAGTTATCATTATAAAAAAGCCTTTGTGAAAGTATCTGGTATCAAAAAAGATGCTACTTGCAGAAGATAAAGACAAATGACAAGTATTTTCTAAATCATTAAAAGTCTTAAAAATTACTATGAATTGTTGCAGGAATTATAAAATTCTATGTCTAAGAGAGATTATCGAAACCTTCTCAGATGGTATTAAAATTATTAATATTATTAAAATGAGTTCAAAGTGCGGATTAGGATGCACTCACGAATTTACGTCCACTAATCTTTAAGAGATTTAGATAGAAATTATAATAATAATAATAATAATAATAATAATAATAATAATAATTATAAGCTTTCGGTGTGTTCTGCAGTGATTTTCAGTACTCTGGCCGAAGAAATAGAGAGTGCCCTGAGCCCAGAACTTAGTACAGAGTATCGTTATGAAACCAGTTTTAAATTTCGGGCTCTGCTTGTGCTTAGGTCATGAGATCAGAAGATTTAAAAAGGACTAAAAGAGTCTAAAAATACAGATCCAGAGATTAATCTTAGGATCACTGTGTTAGGTTTAGATTAGAACTAGATAAATTCTAATAAATAAATAAATATTTGCATTTACAATCAGTACTCGAAATACTTAATTGCAAAATGTTTAAATCTTTTACTTTTAAAACTGCTGCTTTTTGTTACAAAGTTTTTTTTTTGAAAATGAAAACACACTTTAAAATGATGTTCAGAATTGCTAAATATATTGAAGATCTATAATAAGCTTATTAATGCTGGTTGCCTAATATCCGAAATTGTTCTTATCAAATGCATATTAATAAATTCAGTATTGTCTAATACTGACGCAACATAGCTCCGGGGTTAAACCATGCCTGTACAGATATTATATTATTATTGTTTTATTTCACACACTAAACATAAACTAATATAAAATGGTGTAAAAGGTTTTAATAATTAATTGAATTGATATTATATAAACCAACAACCACTGTGCTTCTAAATTTTCATTCTTCAAAAAATCTTCGAAACATGTTTTTACAAAGAAATCTAGTCCGCTTTTAAAATAATAAAATTAGATAATTTTCAAATTACAGTCAAAATTATTCTCATAGACTTTTATATTCATATCAAACCCATCAGTAATAAAATTGCACTTATATATATATACATTAATTAAGTAAAAGTATCAAAGGGTGAAAATCCATTCTATGTAGTTGATTACTATACTATTGATTGATAGCACAGGCTTCCTGTTTCTATACTTAACATAAATATTTATTCTTACTCAACTCTTCATCCCGATAAATCTATAGGTTTATAAATGAAGGAATGCAATAGTTAACTCCTGTAAACAGATTTAAATTTTCTCTGTTAATAAAAATCACAGAATCTACTAGAGAACGCATTGAATGACGTGGAAGCCAACATTTTGATTTGATGAATTTCATATTTAGTGCAGCACTAGGAGAATTAAATAAGAGAATTTTTACTTCTTTTAACAAATGTCGAGTTTGGTTGTGTTAGAACCTAGAACTAGATTTAGAAACTCACAAAGTAGTCTGCACTAATAAACAGGGCCCGGTACACCATGTATTACACTGCCAATCAAACTGAATAGAATTTAACATATGTATTACTTTATCAGTTTACCCCCATTTGCCCCCTCCCTTTATCGGCCCCGCCTCCCCCCTTCCCCCATAATCATTCCATTATGCAACTTGGATATTATTCATGTATTGACTAGCCTACAATTAAATTGAATGAAAAGTAAATATGTAAATAACCCAGGTAGTTTCTCTATACCCTGAGTTAGTTCCTAAGCCTTCTTTACACCCAGAGCTAGTTCCTAAACCTTCCTGGGAATTCTGTCGGAACTAGCGAGACCCTTCATAGTTCTAAACAAGTATCTCTCCTTTAGATTCAGTGACTTTATCATGATCCAACTATTTTTTATCTTTTTTACTATAAACGAAATAACTGGGTTGGAGTTTGAAAAGAGTTTGGACACCAACGTTTCAGGTATTTTCTTCTTTAGATCTTAACTAAATTCTTAGATAGTTTCTCAACTATATCCTTGGATAGTTTCTTAACTAAATCCTTGGATAGTTTCTGAACTTAATCCTTGGATAGTTTCTCAACTTAATCCTTGCATAGTTTCTCAACTATTTCCTTGGATAGTTTCTTAAATAAATCCATGGATAGTTTCTCAACTTAATCCTGGGATAGTTTCTCAACTATATCCTTGGATAGTTTCTGAACTAAATCCTTGGATAGTTTCTCAACTAAATCCTTGGATAGTTTCTCAAATATATCCTTGGATAGTTTCTCAACTATATCCTTGGATAGTTTCTCAAATAAATCCTTGGACAGTTTCTCAACTATATCCTTGGATAGTTTACTATATCCTTGGATAGTTTCTCAACTATATCCTTGGATAGTTTCTCAACTAAATCCTTGGATAGTTTCTCAACTAAATCTTTGGATAGTTCCTTAACTAAATCCTTGGATAGTTTCTTAACTAAATCCTTGGATAGTTTCTCAAAAATATTCTTGGATAGTTTCTCAACTATATCCTTGGATAGTTTCTCAACTATATTCTTGGATAGTTTCTCAACTATATCCTTGGATAGTTTCTGAACTTAATCCTTGGATAGTTTCTCAACTTAATCCTTGCATAGTTTCTCAACTATTTCCTTGGATAGTTTCTTAAATAAATCCTTGGAAAGTTTCTCAACTTAATCCTGGGATAGTTTCTCAACTATATCCTTGAATAGTTTCTGAACTAAATCCTTGGATAGTTTCTAAACTAAATCCTTGGATAGTTTCTTAACTAAATCCTTGGATAGTTTTTCAACTATATCCTTGGATAGTTTACTATATCCTTGGATAGTTTCTGAACTAAATCCTTGGATAGCTTCTTAACTAAATCCTTGGATAGTTTCTTAACTAAATCCTTGGATAGTTTCTCAACTATATCCTTGGATAGTTTACTATATCCTTGGATAGTTTCTCAACTAAATCCTTGGATAGTTTCTCAACTAAATCTTTGGATAGTTTCTTAACTAAATCCTTGGATAGTTTCTCAACTAATCCTTGGATGAAAATTGTATGATTAGTTTGTCAACAAACCCCTAGTTTAGCATAATTTGTATCATTTTATTGTACTATGCATTGCTTACTCATTGCAATTCCCAACCGAGTTTTAGTTTTTAAATCAATTTTTAAATTGTTTAGCAAAAACCATTTTTTGCATTGTTTTATTTGGGAAAGAATTTTAGCGATTAAATCAAATTGATATTTTCACACTGTAATATCCGATCGGAGTCGATCCTCTGAGTTTAAACTGCTATATTTAGATATTGTATCCTGCTCTTGTACTACTGGAGAAATAAAACTACTCAATGAAACCTGTATAGCAGGTAAAGCTCATCCCTGGATCTATGTTCTCTAACCTTAATTCTATTTAATAAGGATCTTTAAATCTATGATTACACAGGAGTGCTGCAGAATGAAACCTGTCCTGAGAGCGGGTTCCAGTGCTGTGCACCGTGTGATTCAACCTGTAAGTAAGATTGAAAAAGAGAAACTTGAATCAAAGAACCTTTGTTTATAGTTTTCATGTACAATGTTTATGTACATGCTAATTCATGGCACCAGGACATTCCGGAATTAACTCTGGAAGGACGAGATCCGGAATTAACTATAGAAGGACAAGATCCGGAATTAACTCTGGAAGGACAAGATCCGGAATTAACTCTGGAAGGACAAGATCCGGAATTAACTCTAGAAGGACAAGATCCGGAATTAACTCTGGAAGGACAAGATCCGGAATTTATCTATTTTCAGGACACACGATTTTCTCTGGCAAATATCTGACCCAAAGGAACTGAGTTTTTGCCACAAACTCAGAAAGTCTAATCCCTATATTTTTCCTATCTGAAGATGTTAACCTTTGATATTTCAAACAATGATCAACATAAATCATATCAAATATCAAAGGTCTACAGCATCGGGTTCCAAAGATATAGTGATTAGAAAATAAAAGTTTGTGGCGAAAGCTTAATTCCTTTGTCTTTTCTAAAACTGGTCTCGCTGTAGTTTTGTTGTAAAAGTCCAAAGGGTAAAACTACTTTATCTTAAAGGGACTGTAAGCGTAATTTTACCCGTCAGGACATTTGGAGGAAATTGTACGCTAGATTCTGACGTGTGTATTTTGCGTAGTCAACTACACTGATCATTGTTCTTACCAGGTGCAGAACGTAAAAAAGGGATATGAAAATAAACCAACATTTCGTGGGGGTCCCCCCACGAAATGTTAGTTTATTTTCATATCTCTTTTCCACTTACTGCAACTAATAACAATGATCAGTGTAGTTGACTAAGCAAAATACACACGTCAGAATCTAGCGTACATTTTCCTCCAAATGTCCTGACGGGTAATTTTAAATGACCTCCATACATGCAAAGATGGCAACGCCTGATTTATAACAATGCCAATGAAAACTTAATCTATAAATCTGTGGAAGATAACTTCTGATTCGAAAAGTGTTTATTTCTGTGAATTTGTCCATTTTTTCTTAAAAGCAAGAAATGCCTAAGTCATTTTTATAGAAAAACCACATAAGAAAATAAACAGTTTAAATAAACATCGACATGGGTTATTGTCTTATTATTTATACTTGATAAGACAAAGATTCTGTCCGTTTGAATCCAATAAACGTTAAAACGGCTGAACCGATCGGGTCCACATTTGTTGTGGCACGTTACGTGATCCCAGTGAGTATTTATGGATGATCGAATTTTCAGAATTTGCCTTTAACAAATTCGATTTTTGAAAATTTTGAAAATCCACGAAATGTTTTCGGGAAATCCGCAAACTTTTTGTTTTGTTTTGTTTTACAATGTTCACAAAGAGAACATGTTCCCAATTGAAATAGAAGATGGGCGCGAAGCGCCCTTAAAGCCTAGACTAAACAAATATGGGTTATGGGTATACACTATGTTTTATTCTATAAACAATTCTATTAAAGGGAACTGTAGACGTAATTTGAAGTGATCCTTCATTTTAACCCTGACATTTCTGGTTTGTACAACGGTAAAACCTGAGTAACAAATCGGAAGATATTATATCTATTGTTATATTATGACAATTGTACAGAGAAGCCACAATTAAAAAGAATCAAATTTAAGCTAGAAAAATAAGGATATCTCGTTCATCCAAGAATAGTGATGGGTTTAAAGGGTTTCGTTGTGAATTGGACATGATTATCTTTTTCTAATGAAGAAATATACTGTTTGTTTAGGTCTGGAGATCAATGATTGGTTTGTTGAGCACAGAGATAAGTTCTGTAGATCTCTAGGAGGAACCTGTAAACATGATTCAAACACCTGCAATGGGTCAGTTCAAACGGGTACCCGGAGAACAGTTGAAACGGGTACTCTGAGAACAGTTCAAACGGGTACTCTGAGAACTGTTCAAACGGGTACTCGGAGAACAGTTCAAACGGGTACTCGGAGAACAGTTCAAACGGGTACTCGGAGAACAGTTCAAACGGGTACTCTGAGAACAGAAACTGTAAATATCTTATTCTAAGATACAGCTCAGTCTCACCACTGTCCGGGTTAATTTTCAACCTAAAGAAAACTTAATTTTAAAACAATAACATAATCAAGATTGAAAGCCGACTTTTTGATTCTGGTTTTAAACAAGAAACACATCAATTGTGCAATACAAAAACTCCTATTTAATAGTTGATAAGTAATTTACAAGCTTGTGATAAGACTTATTGCCATTAATAACATCACATATATATGAAATTGCACAAATGTCGTCTTCATATTTCACAGTTTTATCCATATTTTTCTTCTTTAAGTAATTAAATTACCAAGCAAATGATTGTTTAAATAATACTTTTAGGAATTATAACTCAGGAATGTGCGGGGGTAAAAAGTGGAGAAAATGTTGCACTCCACCAGGTATTATGCACAGGGTTACCCACAAAGGATGAGAATGTAAAGACGACCCAAAACTCTAAAAATACGACAATTTGAAGCTTGATTTTTTTAAATTTCTACATTCAATTAAGTGTTTTAATGGTTTAAAAAATCAAAAAGCACAGAAATAAGCCAGTTTTGACCTGCAAGGAACCCCAGATGCAAGAAAACGGACTAAACAAATTTCGTACAATCGTCTCTGAAGTCTCATCCTTTGTGGATAACCCTGTATATTTTTCATATCTCTTGTAAATATAAAAGCACAAAAAAGGCACCTCATTTTGGAAATGGAGAACTAGGGTAATTTTGTGATTATTGATTCATGAAAAATATTCTAATTTTAGGTGGCCAAATTAATGCCGCAAACCATTTTAAAGGTCAAAGACGACTTTCAGGTCTTCTCTGAAATGTAAAAAAAATTCCTCTCCATTATAAATTTCACTGTATATAAACTTGTCCATTGTAGTACATTCTAAATTGTCCAGTAGTTTTTTACTTGTACACAATATTAAAATTTGGAATACTCTTGACATACATACTAGTTTGATTTCTAGTAAAGGACCGATGATGAAAAGCCGATTTGAAAATATCAATTTTCCCACAGTTTGTATTTCAGTTATACTCCATATTCCATAGCCCATCCTAGCTGCAGCGCGGCGCTCGGCCCCATTGCAGCCTGCGGCGCCTCAGAAGGCCTAACCTAACCTTCGGGAAGTTGCCCCTTGGGAAATTGCACACTTATGAAGTTGTCACTTGGTAAATTGTCACTTGGGGCCTATGGGAAAGTACCTAACACCTATCTCAAAATACACATTACACAGTGTATAGTACACTGAACACAGTACAAATTACAAAAAACACTACACAATACTTAGTACAAAGTTGCTATGCATAGTAAAAATTACACAGTGCATAGTACAGAGTATACAGTACTCAATACTCATTACACAGTGCTATATTTCAGATGTATTCAAGATATCCGCCCTATCTTACACAGTACACAGTACATAGTACAAAGCACACAGTACAAATTACACAGTAGACAGAACACAGTATACAGTACATAGTACACAGCACACAGTACACAATACACAATACACAGTACACAGTACACAGTATACAGTACACAGTAAACAGTACACAGTATACAGTACACAGTACACAGTACACAGTACACAGTACACAATACATAGTACACAGTACACAAGTACACACTGTACAGTTAATATTTCAGATGTATTCAAGATATCCGTCCTATCCTACACAGTACAAATAATTCTCATCATTATGATTATTCTCACCAACGGGTTGGTTATACTGAGAACCATAACAGGAAACGATCATTAAAATATTCATATTTTAAACACTCAGTTAGTTTATCATTTCTCAGTTCTGTCCCAAATAGATTCTAGTACAATAGATGGAAACAAGTGTCAACCAAGGTTTTGTGTCCGACAAAATTATTAGTAATAGCGTTAATTTAGAATAAAGTGCTTATCTTACAGTAAAATTAGTGCAATTTCATGTGTTCTCTATTTTCTGTTTTTACATTTTTTTATTTAATCTTGGAAATCGTGTCAACTAATGTGAGAAAATTTCGTTTTCATTGTTTGACATTTGTGATGTGGTGTATAATAGGTCTATTTCTCTGTTGCCACCTATTGTACTTGATAATCTATATTAGATGTGTGCTATCCATAGAGAATAGAATATATATTAGAGAGGAATTTAGAGAATCTCTCGGTATGAATTTTTTCAGTCCCTTTCAGCCTGAAAGGGAGTTCAAAGAGTACAAATCATGTAAATGTTCACAAATTATGTGCAGTAGAGTACATTAAAACAGTATGTTCCCTAGACCATTCATTTCGAAATTTTTAAAGCTGGTAAATAAACTTTATAATGAATTAGGTGAATAAAAACCATCATTTGATTTAAAGTTATAACGGAAAATAATCGTTTGTAAAGGGAAAGGCATAGAGTCTATATGAAATGATCATTGGTCAATTATGAAACCAGCCTATTTCATAATTTGGTTTTCTTTTGACATTAATTTTAGATTTTCTATAAATGAAGTTCCAGGGCCCAAAAGGTTATATAGCATAACTATGTGAAGTACACCTGCAGTATGGAAACAGTACAACAAAATGGCCGTTTTACACTTTTTTCTAGTAAATTCCCCTCTAATATATACTCTATTCTCTTTGGTCCTATCTTTTAATACAATTCATCATTTGAACTTTTTTCTCTATTTTTACTCTATCTCATTTTTTCTTGCATCAAATTATTGCAAACCTAAGTTCTAACAGAGCTGAACTTTATTTTTGTTGGATACCCTGACCCCCGATTGCTAAATCTCAATATCCACTGTAGACGCTTTTAATTTCTGCGTAATCCGCTTTTTTTGGATATCCCTACTGCTAAAATGTTACGTTTGATTATAAATACAAAATTGTCCCAAATAGATTCTAGTACAATAGATGGAAACAAGTGTCAACCAAGGTTTTGTGTCTGACAAAATTATTAATAATAGCGTTAATTTGGAATAAAGTGCTTATCATACAGTAAAATTAGTGCAATTTTATGTGTTCTCAATTTCCTGTTTTTACAATTGTTTATTTAATCTTGGAAATCGTGTCAACTAATTTCATTTTCATTGTTTGACATTTGTGACGTGGTGTATAATTGGTCCATTTCTCTGTTGCCACCTATTGTATCTAATAATCTATATTTGATGTGCTCTATCTTTTTTATACAATTCATCATTTAAACTTTTTTCTCTATCTCTGTTTCACTTTTTCTTGCATCAAATTATTGCAAACTTAAGTTCTAACAGAGCTGAACATTTGGATACCCTGAATACCGATTGCTAATCTCAATATTCACTGTGGACGCCTTTAATTTCTGCGTAATCTGCTTTTTTTTGGATATCCCTACTGCTATAATGTTACGTTTGATTATAAATACATAATAAAATACAAATACAAAAGCAGTGGACAATGATCGATTTAACTAATGTATGTTTGGAATAATTGGAATTGGAGTCTATTAGTCCAATTCATATGCAGGGTTACTCACAAAGGATGAGGATTCATAGACAATTGTACAGAATTTGTGTAGTCCGTTTTCTTGTATTCAGGGTTCCAATTGTAAACTAAAACTGGCATATTTTGTGCTTTATCATTCATTTAAATATCAAATTACTCAATTAAATGCTGAAACCAAAAATCAAGCTTCAAATCGTCATATTTTCAGAGTTTTGGGTCGTCTTTACAGCTTCTCATCCTTAGTGGGTAACCCTGTAGCCACTGGGTCTCTGCAATTTTTCTGTTCTATCATGGGTTGCAACTAAAATATCTTAGCTTCTGATTGAATGTTCTGTCTCTGCAATCTACACTCTAATTTGATGCATCTCTAGATGTTAATGAAATATTATATAAATCTCGAGATTCTCTCAGAACAGTTTTAAATTTGTTTTTCAATAAATTGATATTTTAAATTAGAATACAGCTGATTATATTCTGATCAAGCTTGAAATAGATAAGAGTCTTCATACTGTTCCCTACGTTGGGATTTGTTGTCTGGCCAATGCTGATCTTCTTCTGGCAGTATTCTGGTTTATAATTCAAGTAATTATTCATATTCTGGTTTATAATTCAAGTAATTATTCATATTCTGGTTTATTATTCAAGTAATTAGTCATATTCTGGTTTATAATTCAAGTAATTATTTGTACTCCTTAAGTTCAATTATGTTTAGAGTTTAACGTTTTACCACGGAACTATGATATGTTTAGAGTTTAACGTTTTACCACGGAACTATGATTATGTTTAGAGTTTAACGTTCTACTGTGAAGCTATGATTATGTTCAGAGTTAAAAGTTTTACCACGGAACTAGGATATGTTTAGAGTTTAACGTTCTACCATAGAACTATGATTATGTTTAGAGTTTAATGTTTTTCCATAGAACTATGATTATGTTTAGAGTTTAACGTTTTACCATAGAACTATGATTATGTTTAGAGTTTAACGTTCTACTATGAAGCTATGCTTATGTTTAGAGTTTAACGTTCTACCACGGAACCATGATAATGAATGTGAACAAGCAGTTTAGGCATCTCCTGGACCTTGCCTTCGTTTGCGAGATGAAGATCATTATACAAATTCTTCTTATCACATTGGATAGGTAGATACTAGATAGATATATAATAGATTGGTAGATATTAGATAGGGAGATACTAGATAGGTAGATACTAGATAGGGAGATATTAGATAGGTAGATACTAGATAGGGAGATACTAGATAGGTAGATATTAGATAGGTAGATACTAGATAGATAGATAATAGATAGGTAGATACTAGATAGGTAGATACTAGATAGGTAGATATTAGATAGTTAAATACTAGATAGTTAGATAGATACTAGATAGGTAGATACTAGATAGGTAGATATTAGATAGTTAGATACTAGATAGATAGATAGATACTAGATAGGTAGATACTAGATAGGTAGATACATGATAGGTAGATACTAGATAGATAGATAATAGATAAGTATAATATACTAAATAGATATATATACTATATAGGTTGAAACTAGATAGGTAGATTCTAGATAGGTAGATACTATATAGGTAGATACTAGACAAGTAGATACTAGATAGATAGATACTAGATAGGTAGATACTGATAGGTAGTTACTAGATAAGTGGATACTAGATAGATAGATACTAGATAGGTAATACTAGATGTTCAGGTTTCTAGCTGTAGCTCACTATACTGTTCAGGTTTCTAGCTGTAGTTTACTATGTTGTTCAGGTTTCTAGCTGTTGTTTACTATATTGTTCAGGTTTCTAGCTGTAGTTTACTATATTGTTCAGGTTTCTAGCTGTAGTTTACTATATTGTTTAGGTTTCTAGCTTTAGTTTACTATATTGTTCAGGTTTTTAGCTGTAGTTTACTATATTGTTCAGGTTTCTAGCTGTAGTTTATCCAATGGTTCACTACAAGTGGACTCAAGCCAGAGTATTGACAGTTAAGAAAACTATCATTATCAGGTTCATCATCGATTATTATTAATTTTAATTTTAAGCGTTCTTTAAATTGTTGAATTGACTCTCAAATCTCTCGAAGCATAAATACCATGTGATGTTTAGTTCAAGTCGTAAAATACTTCCTGATATTAAACTAAATTTTTCAAGTATCAAATTTGTCGAGGATCACATACAGTTTATGTTAAATTTTGAACATTTTACAGAAACAAATTCCATAAATATAATAATTCATAAGCAGACAATAATATGTATTCTTATATCGTAAAAAGTAGCATTTAACATGTAATATATGAAATAATTCATTATAATAAAACATATAAAGAGCAAGAAAGATAATTTCGGGGAAAACATCTTCTTTGACTATTAACTATTGAATGTTTTATTTAGAAAACGTCATGTTTTTAAAATTTCCTTTCTATTTATCTATAATATGTTTTGTCTATAAAATGTTCTATTTTTAAAAAGTACTGTCTATTAAATGTCCTGCCTATGAAATGTGTTGCCAATAGGAAATCCTGTGTCTGAAATGTTCTGTCTATAAAAGGCTTTGCCTATAAAATGTTCTGTCTATAAAATGTTTTGTCTATAAAAGTACCGTCGTCTTTTAAATGTTCTGCCATGAAATGTTTTGTCTATAGGAAATCCTGTGTCTGAAATGTTCTGTCTAAAAAATGTCCGTATGTGTGAAGACCCGTAGATATCGTCTTCCAGTCCGGAAGCTCAACTAACCAAACCAAATATATTTAATTCACATTATTGAAATATCTGACTATTTAATTTAACACCCAATTTTGTAGTTTTAATTTCCTTCAGGGGGCACCAATCTGTATTGAAGTTATTAATCTCTTCAAACCAAAATGGCATGTTATAGATAAGCAGATGTTTCGACCCCACCCAACCTCAAGAGTTATTTATATTTTAGTGCGTGTGCTTGGAGTGTGGCGGCTTTACTTGGATACTCAAGGTAATTTTTCATTCATATTTAAAAATAAACTTTTTCCTTTGGAAAATGGTTCAAGAGAATGTTAAAATGTTTGGTTTTTAAGAAAAACAAACATCTTAAGGCGTAAGAGTGTTTTGGATCGATAATGAATTTTTAAGGTATAAAAATTTAGTTCATTGAGTTTGCATATTAGCACATTCTTTTGCAACTTTATGATTAAGCAAGGAGCTAAGTCTTTGCCACAACCTCAAATTATCAATATCCTATATCTTCGCAACCAAATGTTGTAGACCATTAATATTTCAAACTATTATAATTCTTAAAGATCAAATAATCTCAGTTGAAACGTCGAAGACTTATCTCGTCTGGTTGCAAAGATGAAGGGATTTGAAAATTAGAAAACATAAAGATTTATTTTTAGACGCTTCAGTGGAGAATGGGTTTCCTGTCACAGAATTATCATTATGTCCATTTTTAGGTTAGTTGGAACTTTATAGAGTTCTAGTTATAGTTAATGTTATGTTTAATTCTTTAGCTGAACAAAATAGAACAAAATCATATAAACTTGAACGGGTTCTCTTTAAAACTCTAGAATGTTTTCCCTCTGCTTTATTTAAAAAAAAATATGAAATTCGATTGAATTAGAGCTGAAAGAAACTAAATCTGAAAAATCGTTTAAAAAAAGTCGCCAAGATCTATTTAGATAGTTATGCAAATTATATCTGAAAAAAAACTGATTTCCTTATCCCTATATCTTTGCAATCTTAAATATTTCAAACTATTAATTCTGTCGGATCAAATAACTTCAGTTCAAAATATCAAAAGTTTACACTATCAGGTTGTAAAGAAATAGACATTCGAGAATATTTGAGTTTTTGGCAAAAACTCCATTTGAAATATAATGTTTTTTTCAGGACCATTGTGCCACTCTGTGTAACCGCTGTACTTAATCTTATGGAAAGTGTTGGACGAAATGTGTTGTTTTATCTAAATAATTTTTAGTTTCGAGATTTCTTCAGCTTATCTTTTTTAACGTCCGGCATTTTTAACAGATATTCTTCACAATTGAATACAAGAGCGGAGTTTCACACGTCTGTAAAGAGGACATATCTTCATCTAAACCCTCAGAAAGCAAGTAGGTGTAATAACTCCAAAACTACTGTAGTGCTTAATACACATACACCAGACCCGTTGCATTGCCATTTATACTTATCACTCGTAGGAGAACTAAGAGGAGAACTAGTAGGAGAACTAGTAGGAGAATTAGTAGGAGAACTAGTAGGAGAACTAGTAGGAGAACTAGTAGGAGAATTAGTAGGAGAACTAGTAGGAGAACTGCTAGAACTAGTAGGAGAACTAGTAGGAGAACTGCTAGGAGAACTAGTAGGAGTACTAGTAGGAGAACTAGTAGGAGAACTAGAAGCACTAGTAGGAGAACTAGGAAAACTAGAACTAGTAGGAGAACTAGAAGAACTAGTAGGAGAACTCGTAGGAAAACTAGTAGGAGAACTGGTAGTAGAACTAGTAGGCTTTGAACTAGAAGGAGAACTAGGCGTAGAACTAGTAGGAGAACTAGGAGGAAAATTAGTAGGAGAACTGGTAGGATAACTAGTAGGAGAACTAGTTGGATAACTAGTAGGATAAGTAGTAGGAAAACAAGAACTAGTAGGAGAACTAGTAGGAGAACTAGTAGGAGAACTAGTAGGAGAACTAGTAGGAGAACTAGTAGGAAAACTAGTAGGAGAACTATTAGGAGAACTAGTAGGAGAACTGCTAGAACTAGTAGGAGAACTAGTAGGAGAACTGCTAGGAGAACTAGTAGGAGTACTAGTAGGAGAACTAGTAGGAGAACTAGAAGCACTAGTAGGAGAACTAGTAAGAAAATTAGTAGGAGAACTGGTAGGAGAACTAGTAGGAGAACTAGTAGGATAACTAGTAGGAGACCTGGTAGCAGAACTAGTAGGAGTACTAGTAGGAGAACTAGTAGGAGAACTGGTAGTATAACTAGTTGTATGTACTAGTAGGAGAACTCGTAAGAGAACTAGGGGGAGAACTAGTAGGAGAATTTAAAAAATCTTAAAAGAGAAATATTTTAAATTCAGGAAAATCGTTCTCTCCGTCCAAAACAAGAAAGCTGCAAGAACTGTTGGTTTGATTCTGATCTCTATCCTTCTTGCATACGTCCCGCTCAGAATCATAACTATGCTCAGGTAAAAAATACGTTAAAACTATTTAAAGGGACTGTAATGGTAATTGTAAGTGAACTTCCATTTTCAAAAGGGGTCCTTATTTGCAAACATTCTCTTTGAACCTTTGACTGATCAAGGATGAAAGACTTGTCCTTACTTATACATCCTGAAACGCTAATAATTGTTGAAATCTTTGCAAATATGACGGTATTCGTTGTGAGTTAACACAACAAGCTACGCAGTACATTTAAGAGATATACAATTAGATCTCTTTTCTCGATGATCAGCCAAAGGTTTAATGGGTTCCTTTGTGAATCGAGGATTGTCTTATTTATGCATAAGGTCCCTTGAAATTATGCGCACAGTCCCTTTAATCAATGCTAATTTTTCTATTATAGCATCTGTGAGGTGTATATGGGCCTGTATGAGAAGCTTAGTGATTATATCGTGTTTGCAAAACTACTGAATAGTCTGATAAACCCAACCCTATACGCCATCTCAACTCCAACTTTTATAAACTCAGTGAAGAAGATTTTTATTAAGCGTCGTGACCCAGTGACACAAAATCAAACCAGAAGTTCAAATCTGTCAAAAAAATAAACTGTAATTATGCTTTCTCCAGATCAAAAGTATCTATTCTATATCGAAAGAATACGTAATTAAAAGAATGAATATTGAAACTGAACAAAATAAATGTACATATTTCAATGCTTTCAAAATAAACAAAATGAAATGTTTTATTCGATAAAAAATGTGCAGCAAAAACCATCATCATCTTCTCACAAATATAGACAGAAGGAGATGGTCTTAATCGAACTATAAGTATGACTTTGTTTTGATTTTAGGCACTAGCAATTTATTTGATTATATATTTGAAATCTAAAATATTTGTTCTTTTCAATAGCTCTGCTATTAAAGGAGTTCTGAAGCCCAGAGTGTAAGGAGGGAGGGAGTCCAGAGTTCTTCAAATAGTAATCACCGCCACCCATATCTGTTTTGCGGCAAGCGCGCTCCTCAATTGGTAATCTCCCCCACCTCAATTAGAAATCATCGTAAAATTTTGTTTCCTGTGATTTGAATTTAATGCACTTTTAACACAATTTTCGACATCTATCGGGGTTTTATGGCATCTGTATTGACTTAAACTAAATTTTCAAATTATTTTCAGATTTGTTTGGTCAACAAAAACTGAGAATCAAGGCACAGTTCATTTTAACGAATCTTAGATCCAATTCGCCACTTTAATGACTGCATTTCATGATTGGCGTCAAGATACTAAAAGGTTGGGCTGCCTGTTTACTGAAAATTATCTCATCCCACGCAAAGTAATATCCATCTCCATTTAAAAGATATTTTCAAAAAACCTGTACAGTGTTTAGATTTTTGTATTCGCCAACTCAAGTTCAAGATCTACAGCAAAACTAATTATATGCATAGAAAGTACAAAATTTACTAAAAATTATCTCATCCCACGTTAAGTAATATCCATCTCAATTTAAAAGATATTTTCAAAAAACCTTTACAGTACGTTTAGATTTTTGTATTCGCCAACTCGAGTTCAACATCTACAACAAAACTAATTATATGCATAGAAAGTACATAAAATTT